TCTTTCTTTCTTTCTTTCTTCTCTCTCTCTCTCTCTCTCTCTCTCTCTCTCTCTATAGTTGAAAGAACGGTAGGGGGGGGGGGTGGGTGTGGAATTAAGAAGCATGTAGCAAATGAATGTGGTTTGGTGAAAGTGAAGGTTTTATTGTGTTGCTAAGTAGAATAGTCATTAGCATTCTTGGATTATGGGTGAAACTTGGAATTACGGATTGTTGCTCTATCTGTTTTGATCTGGTCCAAGATTTAACGGGATCATGGAAAGGAACTTTTTTGAATTAGAGTGCTTCTTAATGTTGTTTTGGCGTTTGATAATTACCATTTGATTTTTATGGAACTGAAATTTGATTCGGATATATGATCTATAATATGCTTGCAACTTGTTCATTTTTTTTCTTTTATTTTCTTTTTATTTTTTATTTTTTTAGTTTTCTATTTTCGATTTTTGGAGTACTCAAATTATGCGGTTTGTCTTAATCCTGATTGTTATTTCCCTTCTGCTATTATTGAAATTTGGGTCTGAAAATTTGATTGGCTCCTCTTCTTTTGCTTGAGATTGATGGAAGATATTGAACCCGTACGGACTTTAGAACATTTGGATTACATATATCTTTCATATCATTCTTCAGACTTTAGGATATGCAAAATTTCATACCCAACAGATAATTGAAATGCCACTTCTGTGTATTCTACGAACGTGTGCCCTCTCTATCACCGTTCTTTTTGCTTTATATCCCTGACCCCTTATTGGACCTGATTGCAACAGTTCCTCATGATGCTTTACGGTAGCTCTCTTCATATGTCAATTGATGTATGATGGATTTAGTGTAGAATTTCTTTGAGAACCAGGGAAGAATCTGCAGGACATTCACCATTCTTTCCATTATGAGAATTATTCTTTCCATGTTCTGAACTAAGGCATTCACCAACAGCATGAGTTATCGCATGATATTCTTTCTCTCTCCTTGTTTTGATGGATAACAATAATGATAGGAAGTATTTTTGGGGTTGTGTTAAGTGTAGACTAACAGAAGAATTACTTCTTTTGGTGGTTCTTTGGTGTGTGGTGAGTTTGCTCAGTAGTTGTTTGTCATGATCGAAAGTCTTCTCATTGTTGAGATCAGACGCCGATATCTGCTACAACTGATATCCAAAAAGACGGGGAATAGTTTAGGAGTGTTAGATAAGCCTGCGAGGACTAGATAAACCACCAAACTCACTTGTATCTCATTTTATGAGCTCCAAGTGGAATAGGTGTTTCTTATAGAAATATGTGATTTTCAAAACCATATGACTTAAAAAAGTCTTCTTAATTCTTAGGGTTTGTGGAACTTGAAATTGGAGGTTCCAAGACCATGTTGATTATTCAATTTATGAATTTGTGAGTTTTCTTTATTTTTATTTTTTTTTAAATTTTATTTGCTATTTGAAATTTATTGTAAAAATTTGATGGTTAGATTTGGAATTGAGATAGATGCAACAATGTCAGTGATTACCTTTTGCGAAATGCACTGTAGTACTGAAATATGCCAACACCCTATCAGTTCCTTCACTTTCGATGGAATTTTTGTCAAGTTGAGCTTTATAGTCCATTCTAGGAAGGGTTTGATTGAGATCAATGCATATTTCTTGGACTTCTATTGCTTCTTTCTTTTCTCCATTCTCATGCTAGATTTATTTCCTTGATCCCACTTCTCAAAAGCAAGGGCCAATAAGACTAAAGCGATCCTTGTTGTGAAACCAAATTGCTTGTATAGAACCCCATGATATATCAATCCTCTTCTTCCAAACACCATGGAAGATGGATAGAGGATTCTTCTTCCAGAATAAAACCGCTTCTTTGGAGGAAATGAAGTGACCATTAACTGATGGAGGTGGCTATCAACCTTGGCATTGCTCAGAGGCCAGAGCATGACTAAAGGGTTGAGAAAAGCTCCATCTCATCCTGTAGAAAGGTCGATGCAAGGATAGATGGTCCACTGTCTCCTCAGGGTTCAAACCTATGTTAACATCCAACATATGTTTGGGATTAGGAGTGGCATTGGAGATGATATTCCTTGAGGACCTTGTTGATTGCTTTTAATAGTCCTAAAGTTAGCACGCTAGGTACTGCTATGGTATCTAATTAGACATGTTAATGATCTCCTACCCAACATTCCCACACTCTCGAGCACTCGAACTTGATTTAGAGAACCTATGAACAATGTCCTATTTTTTAAACAATCTTATTGATACCAGATGAAGGGAAGAACATGGCATCTAAACTTCCCTATATTGGCCCAACTTGATTGTCTCTTCTTCCACATGGATCCCCATGGGAATTTTTATAGTTGTCATTACTTTAACCACGCGGGAATATTGCTCTTAATTAGAACATGGAGCACCATATGACTCAATTATTTGCTGTAGAAGTGGGCCAAGAGTAACGTTATCTTAATATGATTCACACAAATGTTCTACAGAAAAAAATATGATTTACATATATGCATTTTTATTAGTTTTGTGGAACAAAGTGCCTAGAGATATGTCGAGTACAATATGGCACTATGCCTGAGGTAGGAGTATGAAAACCATGATCTTCCTATGGAGCTCTATGCTTGCTAACAAGTAACTTGTGATTTGCCATGTGACAAGTATTTGCAGTGAAGAGTGAGCAAACAATCTGAAGTTTGTGAACACTGTTGTTGTGCTCTTAGGAACCAAGCATTTTTCTCTAAGACATGTTCTGAAGAATTGTCGTATATCAATTGGAGTGGGATGCTTCTTGGGCACTGAATAAAAAAAGTTTTTGTTTCCACCCAGGTGGAGTCAACTATTTAAACTGGGGTGCATGTAGTAACATTTGATAATCAACAGCTAAAATTTAATTGTTGGTTGTATTTTGCATGTTGTAGTTTTGTTGCATTTTAATTTGTACTAGCTAGTAAGTTGGGGTAGTCTGTTCTACTTGTTTTTCCTTCAATAATAGTACACTTCCTTAAATGGTTGCAGGAAGAAAGGGATTTTATTTGTTGCTATCGATCGAAATAGATCTCTAGAGGAGCAAGGGCCTTTTGATGTGGTTTTGCATAAGGTTCGTGTACTCTTTTATAGCATACGTTTTTTTTCTTCCACAGAATATTATGAAATTAATTCTTTTCACTCCTTTGAAATTTTTAGGACTTGATTTATGGTCAGAATATTTTTTTCCATTTTATGTCTTTATTTATGCTCAGGAACAATCAACTCTTTTCTCATCACAATACTGTTTTATGGGGAATGCAGTGCATGAACTTACTGAACAAAGTTTTCCTTTTTTTTTTCCCAGTTGTCCGGAAAGGATTGGCGCCAGATTCTTGAGGTTTGTCTTAGTGTAAAGTTTTTGATATTAGTGCTTTTTTTTTTTGTTTGAAAGTGTTTTATGAAATTAGTGCTTTTTGTTATTTGATTTGTGGAAGTTTCTTTGTTAAATTAGTGCTTTCACTTAATATGCATATATAGGCTATTGCTTGTGACTTTCTTATTGTTTCTTACTTAGATAGTGTGTTCCTTAATTTCATTTATATATCTTGGTCATTTGATGACCAAACTATAATGACACAAGGGCAATACTCTATACAACATTCCTGTGTGGATAGAAAGGAGAAAAAGGAAACTCCAGTCTTCCATGTTCTGAAAAGAAAAGAAGAAGGGAGACATGCAAAGAAGGCACACAACTCTAGTTTGCCAGACATTTGTGATATGGATATTGCTCTTGATCGTTTTTGGTATTTCATTGTATATGATGTGGTGCACCACAGGGGAATTCACTGCCCATTATATTTGATGCTGTATGGCAGATACTTATTGTAATTTCCAGTGATGGATATTACCCCTGTAAGGTTAATTTCCATATTTAGGCATGCCATTGGAATCAACGGTAGAATCCCTTGTGCTGTACCATATACCATACACCAATGGTCTGTGGTATATTCATATACTTCTCCATGAAGTCATTGTTTCAAATTCATATTTCCTCTTTACTGTGTTGACGCTCAGTCATGTTATCCCTTATGGGAGACCCTCGTCTAAGATGACAACATACTACTTTCTTAAGTCATGTTTTTACTCTTGGTTTGTTGTTATGAGGATTCATTTTGGTTGGACTTGCTTACTACAGTTTCTTTACATTTTTGATAGAACTTCGCATTATTAACATACTACTTTTTTTAAGTTATGTTTTTACTCTTAGTTTGTTGTTATGAGGATTCAGTGTGGTCGGACTTGCTTACTACTTTTTCTTTACGTTGTTGATAGCACTTCATACTATTAAATTGATTCGTTGGCTAGTCTTTAGACTGCATCATTTCTTGCTCGTTCTTCTGAAGAAAATTATGACATAAATAATTGCTTAATCTTTAACTGTTGTTATTGGTGTGCCCCCTGATTGCATTTCTGCCTGTGTAGGGTTGGCTTCAATGTGCACGGTGGTTCGTAAGCATTTCAATGGCTTTTGTGTTCTCATAGATGAAAACCCCTTGCTTCCATTGGTGTGTGGTTACAGATTATTTGGGTGTATATTTAATTTATTTATTGTTTTGGGGAAATTTTCTCACTTCTTTAAATGCATGTCTTTGGACTTTGGATGTATGCATGCATACTCATGCATGTACAAGTGCACCTGCAAATGGAGAATGAATTTGATGGTTAAATATCATTCCAGATTGCAATTAGGATATGAGTGATCCATGTTCGTTGTTAGGGGTGCAATGGACTTGGACCCGATTCGGGTCTGGGCATGGGTCCAAAAAATTGGACCCTGTGGGTCGGGTTTGGGTCTATGCAGTCTTGACCTGAATAGTGTTAATATTTAAATAATATTTAACATATAATATTTTAATAATATTTAAATGGATATAACTATATATTTTTAGTTATAATATTTAAAATAATACATGTATATATTTAACATTATATTTAAATGTATTTGAATATATTTTTTGATTTTTTGGTCAGGTCCGGGTCTAGTCGGGTCCAGGTCTGGGTCCGATAACTTTGGGTCCAGTAAGGTCTGGGTCCCATAAAAGTTTTCTGGTCGGAGACTGGGCCTGACCTGTTGCCACCCCTATTTTCCATTTCTGACTATTTAAAGTAATCATGACATTCCCCCTCAAGCTGATGTTGATACTTTACACATTTCTGTCATGCTATGGGCAAATCATTTTTGTCATGCTCGTGTTTTGTAGAGTATCTAAGGTTTAAAAACATGGTTTGAAGACTCGGATCGCCCCTTCAGAAAACCGATAGGATCGGTGATCCGGCCTAGTGAACTGGTGAATAAAAAATTAGGGAACAAAAATATTGAAAAAAATTTAGAAAAGAGCTGGCAGATATTTAGTAGAACCAGACTGCCCCTGACGATTCCTGATCCGAACCGACTGGTTCTAGATTGGTTTGCCGATTTTAAAAACTTGAGAGTATCTATAACTTTGTGTTCTATAGAAACATATATTATCCGGAAATTTCAAGAGGAGTATAATGCTTAATTTGTTTGGGTTAGTGCATTAGACCAACATTGCCTTCGTCTCTTGTCAATCAGGGACGATGTTAGCTTTTTGATTTGGGATTTTTTTGTCTCCATTAGTTCCCAAAACTTAATTGCCCAGTACACTTGCTCTAGTTGACCCGTGGAAGAATCCTTGTATGTCTACTAAGAAATACCTCAATAGTGCTGGGTTCTCCATAAATATTGATGCTGATGGTCATTCTTGCTCACTAGTTCATTGCTTGTGTATCATTCAAATACACAAGAAGAGGAAGGGCAACCATATTTTAAATTTGAAACACTGGTCTTCTCATCATCATGTGAGCCTGATCCCAACTATTTGGTGTTGGCTACACGAATTCTGTTCTGCCATTTCGCTCAAAAATAAATTTTATGCTTTCCTTTCTGAGTATTCTGCTAAATCACGAACCTTGCACATTACATAGACACATTATCCTAGATTGCTTTGTTAAGACCTATATAAGAAACTGTGTTATAGCCACTTATATACATTCATGGGACTCTTTCGATACGTGTATACATCAAAAAATGCCTAGGGCTCTTTGGATTGTGTATAAGTTCCCAATACAGCGGCTATATATGTGAAGGCTCTATTCTTTGGCATTTGGTGCGAGGCCAATTGCTAAGGCAAATTAGCTCTGCATATACGTAGAATGGGTAACGCATTAAATATTCTTCTTTCCCCCATTCCCAATAGCAGCAGTTAGTGTGGCAACTTATACAGTGCATCCAAACTGGCCCTAAAGTAGCATTTATTTGACATAATAGAAGCTCTGTTATATCCATCTCTTCACAATTCATTGTTCTCTACATAAGCATCCAGCCCCATCTTAGCCAAGTCCTTCCGGAAGCAAGCTGGACCTCCCACCCAACCTGAGCAGACTGAAGGCATTTTAACCATCCTTGGATGTCCTTTTCGACCAAGCATAAATGGTCTTAGTCATCTTATAGAGGAATGTTTAAAGCACTAATAGAATGCCCATTATTATGGCTAGCAGATTCTCCGTTATGGCCATTTTTATGCATTCGATGTACATAGCCAAAAGAAAAGTATTCTAAATGGTAGAGAAATACCAAAAGTTGAATAGTAAAACACGAAATTGGAAAATTTTGTTGTATAATTTTCATTTTTAAATTCTTTTGATCACATAGAGTTAGGACAGCTTGCTTACACATACTTCATGAACTAGATTTTTCTTTTTAGGGTAAATAACCCATGAAGCAGTTCTTGATGTCATTTGCCTGATGTTTACCCATGGAGGTGTTGGAAAACCTATATCAATCAAATTTGAGTGAAGAAGAAGCCTTTTAGGGACTTCTAGTATCTAAAAGCCTCATCTCTATGCATATATATTGAATGATACAGGATACCACTTCATCCTCTTTGAATCATCTTCAAAGATATGGATTCTAGTTGAGTGTTGATGTCAGTCTTAGTGGAAGCTCTCGTGTCCTTTTTGGTTGTTTGCCTCAAGTCTTTGCTCCTTCTGTGAGGATGAATTTTAAAATATATGCCCTTTCTTGATTTTCTGGAGTACATGGAAATCGATGAGCAGTGGATTTCTATAGAGGCATAGATACAAGCAGTGAGGTGGCCGAACAAAATATGGATTCCATGGTTTATGGATCTTATTAAAGAGCTCCCTGGATTAAGGGTGGGTGACCTGATTGTTAGTGGATTGTGGTGAGCTGCTGATACTTGAGCTTAAAGCAAAGTTTGTGCAAAGGCAGTTCCATTGAGAATCCATGTCCGTCAGGTGTAGGTGGCATTTTCGGGGACAGTGATGGCATGGTTTTGAAGTTCTATGCTCTGGTAGAATGTGAAGTGAGATGGTAGAACGACTTGTTTTATTTTGATATGTGACTTGGAGTGCAGAATATTGTCAGTGTCCTCAGAATTGCTTATGATGCTGCCAAATCTCTTAATTGTTTAGTTTATGTATAACAAGACCTTACATGGAGTGTGGTTGTACAGTTTGGAATTATTACTGATTGTGTGATATTTCGGAAGTTGGAGAGAAATAATTGAGGTTAAAGAGGTTCACTGTCAGGGAAAGAATTTATGCAAAGGTGCATTGAGGTGGGCATAGCGACAGTATAGGACCTATTCAGGGAATAATTTTCAAAAGTTGGCAGTGAAGCTCCCTACTAGGGTGTACCGCAGGGCAGATATGGTGTAGTGGTGCCCTCTCATACGGGTTTATCTCGATGTGTGTGTGAATGCGTGCGCGCATGCGTTTGTGTAAGGAATCTTTCCCACCACTGAGGACTTTGTGTCTCGTCTTAATACCACACATACTTCATTTATACTATGATATTGTGTGGTTATCTTCTAAAAAAAAAAAATTGGATATTGTGTGCTTCAATCTAGAACTTGTTCAATTGGGAATTTTATCCTAAAAAGTTTTTGATTTGATTCTATATACATTGTCATGCCCACTTTTGATTTACTTCATCATTTGTACACACATTTCTTTCCCTTCTCTTCAATAGTATGAGACCATAATTATTTTTTTAATGTGTATGGTACCATAGCTTCATTCTCTTAAAAACTCTTTATAAACCCTCTAAATGAAACTTCTGTTTCAGGATTATTGGCAAATGCACCCTGAGGTAACCATCCTTGATCCTCCAGATGCTATTCAGCATTTATACAATCGCCAGTCCATGCTCCAGTATGTTGCCGATTTAAATATGTCTGATGCTGAAGGTAAATTACTTTGAATAGTCGTTAAAAAATAAATATACCAATTACACATTTGCTTGCTGTATTTGCTAGTTAGAGAATGAGGTTACCCCTAAAATTTATTGTGTCTTGATATTGCCTTGGTCTTCGAAAGAATGAATTTATGATTGGTGTTATTGATATGGTGCAAATCTTAACATTTTTGGGTTTTGGATTCGTTTTGGTCCACAGCCAATATATTAAACTATTGCCAAATATAATTTTAGAAACATTACTTTTTCAAATTGAATAAAGGAAAAACCAACGAAATTTAAATGTCAAACCATAGTTACCATAATGTCTCACCGAAGGTCACGATTCCGATTCAAAACTTCGATTTAGTGATTCTGACTAGGAATCTTCCCCGAACCCGTTTCTGTGTAGTCTGGAATCTTGATTCCTTATTTTAGGAATCTCCAATTCTAACACTTAAGAATCTTGTTTCCAATATTTATTAATTCTCGATTCTGTTGTTGGTGAATTTTGATTCTACACTTATTGAAACTGGTTTCCTCATTTACTAGAATTCTACAACTTCCCCCTCTCTTCCCCCTCCCCCCTCCTTTTATTTTTTCTTTTTGCTTTATTTTGAGAAGTGATTTTTAGCAGTTTTCAGGGCATCAAACTACATGAGCTAGACACATAATCTCAAGTTACAAGTTATAACCATCTTTTTTGGCATGGAATGACCAATATAAACCAAAGTGGTGGTCCACGTTCTCTACTTAATTCTTTAAGTATGCATTGTATTGATCCAGTGGAGAGATTGCGACAACAAGATGTTAGAAATAATGTGATACAAGTAATGTAAACGTGCATGTATGACATGTTTGTCAATGAATAGCATTGAGATATGTATTGTTCCTCCCTCAGTTCCCTCTCGATTCCAAAAATTTGAGAATCTCAATTCCATAAATGAAGCTATCTTGATTGGATATTGGTCGATTCCAAGTAGGTTAGAAACTCGATCCCAAAGAGTTAGGAATCTCCATTCCATCTATGTAGGGATATTGATATTTTGGTCGAATCTCGACTCCTAAAAATAGGTATTTTGTCCCCCCACATTTCCTCTTGTTCGGGCGTTGATTCTGAAAACAGGAATCTTCGAGCTAGAGGCGATTCTGCTCATCCGATTCCTAGATCGATTTGATTTCCGAATTGCTTTTGATAACTATGTGTTAAACCCAACTGAATCGAATATGCAATATTTAGAAAAAATGATGTCAAAGATATATTTAAGAATTGTGTTCCTAATTTTGACTGGTATGTGACATAAATCTGGTCCAAATTGTTTCTGATTTTAGGGCCAAAACAGAAAATATTACCCATATCTTGGTTGATGTTCATCATCAATTTAACCTTTGAATGATGCTGGTTGTGGTGACAGGTAAAATTGGTGTGCCCAAGCAGCTAGTTGTTACCAAAGACCCGTCAAGCATTCCTGCTGCTGTTACTGGAACTGGATTGAATCTGCCTTTAGGTAACTACTTGTTATTCTTTCTATTTTTTCCTTAATAAGTTGCCTTTGGATAACTATCTAGGTATTTTCTTGGGGAAAGAGTGCCATAATCCATTGGACTATGGAACATCATACTCCATGGGGTCGTCATTTTCCATTCATATTGACAGTGATGAGAGAGTGGGGTCCACTAGAACAGTGACAGTATCCCAATGTTACATCTCACTTTCTCGATCATTGTTTATCGTTGGTTGGATGGTGATGACCCCCAATGGACAATGGTTGTCCATACTTCATGTGATCCTTATACTATTAATATTTGTCTTTGACTGGGTTCTCACTCCCCATCTCATGCCTCTTTGATGCGTTCCAATTAGAGAATAATTATAGAAAAAGATATCTTACTCACACTTGATTAACTTGTGCAATATTTTCTTCCCAATTATTAGTTGTGAAGCCTCTTGTTGTGGATGGGACTGCCAAGTCGCACGAGCTATCTCTCGCTTATGATGAGTTATCCCTTTCACAACTCGAACCGCCCTTGGTGCTCCAAGAATTTGTTAACCATGGTATACAAGTATGGTGGTCACTCTTTAGCTTATTGTACTGCTGCTCTATTGAGCTTCGGTTAACTTGTCTCTTTTTGTACCTGGATTTCACAGGTGGCGTATTGTTCAAGGTATATATCGTGGGTCCCACTGTTACTGTGGTTCGGCGGTTTTCATTACCGGATGTTGACAAGAGGAACTGTAAAGGGCATGGGGTCATCCCATTTCCTAGGGTTTCGAGTGCCGCAGCTTCAGCTGACAATGCAGATCTTGACCCATGTGTGGCTGAGCTCCCTCCTCAACCTTTGCTAGAGAGGCTTGCCAAAGAACTTCAGCATAGGCTGGTATAGCATTTGTACAACCTTCTATTAATTTTGATGAAGTACACTATAATCCATAAGTGCCACCTGTGTTCTAAAAATGCTGATATGGATCGCAAATCACCGATCCAGATTGGTCAGAATTAGTGGTTCAACACGACAAGCTATATAGTTTATGGCTTTTATGTCATAAAATTGGGTTGATTTAGTTGGCTCGGCCACATGGGTATCTGAATGACGTTCGAAGGTTCAATTCCTCCGAGCTTCCTTTCTCTATGCTTGTAAACTAGCTCCAATTTCCTTTTTCTTTTATTTATGAGTTTAGGTAGTTCCTACTTTTAATGTTAACTTAAAAATAAGTACGTCTAGAGGGAGGAATTGAACCTCCTCTTGGTTAGGAAAGGACCCAACATTTAGCCGTGCGGCATTGCTATAATAGCTGTATGAGTAATATTTATTTCATATTGTAATCCCTTTTTTTTTTTGCTGGATCACTGATCCAACCGATTCAGATCGGGATTGGTGGGTGAACGATCCAACCCACTTGTCCATTTCTTAAAACATTGGGTGCCACCATCATGTAATCAAATGATGAACAATGAGGTTGAGAGAGTAAAATCTACTCAACCAGAGCCGGGATATGATCCCAAATTCCCAATTGGCAGTTACTGGGTTTTGCTCTATGTCCACTACTGTCCATTTCACCAGATGCTGGGTAATCCCAATGACCTATGGTTTTGTGTGTGCCATTGGATTAATGTACACTTCTTTTTAAGTACATAACATCCTAGGCTCCATTCCCACTGTTAACACTTAAAAAAAAAATGTACACTTCTTTTTAATTGTTATCGGATTAATATATATCTCCCTTTGATGAGATATATGAAGATTCTTTTCCCAGGTAAATTAAAGGGTAAGGAAACTTAAGTTTGTTTTGGTCATATTGAAGTAGGAATATTATATTGTAATTGTTTTTCCTTTTTCTTTTGTGGGCATGCAGGGTTTAAGATTGTTCAATATTGACATCATCCGACAACAAGGGATTCGCGATCGCTACTATGTCATTGACATCAACTACTTCCCTGGTATGATCCTAGCATCTGACTCGTGTATTTCTTGATAGTTGGCCTTTGACAAGATAAATACTCCAGTAATATGCTGAAGGGGGGATGACCCCAAAATAAATGCACATGTAATATACCAAATGCGAATTTTTGAAAGGATTGCGAAGGCCAGCTTTGGCATTTAAAGAGATAGAGTGGCACTCTTTTAAAGAGAGAGAGTGGCACAGCTTTGGAGATGATAGCCAAACTACCCTAATGCCATGTAGAAGACTGAAGTACCCCTATTTCTTTGTGCATGTGTGAGTGTCTTTGTGCATGCATGTCTCTGTGTATGTGTGTATGCATGTGCAAGTGGCGATATTGCATCTCTTTTTTTGGGTATGTCAACATAGGAATTGATCCTGGGATGTAGTGTTGCAAACTTAACAACTTAACCAATCAAGCCAGTGCCCAAATCACTGTATGTTTGCTAGTTTGGTAAAAGGATAAGGTCTTGATGGATTCCTACTTGGTGAAGCAGGGCATAGGAGACTGGCAAACCTCATCCATCATTTCATGTAACGAAGTGTGGCATAAGTTCACGTGGAGTGAGATATGTGCAAAAAAATGTAAATACTATTTAATTTTCTGTTTGTGGGGGCATATGAATAATCGAATATGTATAGTTATACATATTCAATTTAGTCATATGCACCCAAAAACATAAAATTACAACCTTCGTTATAAACGTATAGTATTTAAATATGGTTATTCTGACTAAAGCACACTAATGATGAATTTAGAATTTCCTACTCTGAAATTTTTGACAATGGAATGCCCCTACCAATATAAAAAGTTCATTAATAATAGCTTGTTTGAAAATTTTGAAAAGGGCATAATTATAATTTTAAATGGCTTTTAAAATTCAATCATCATGCAAACAGGTCTTTTTAATTTTTAAATTGAGTTTTGGAGGGTTTTTGAAAAGACAAAAATGCCCTTCTTAAAATACATGGATTCTTTAAGTCATATTTGGACTTGTAAAGGAATTTTGCAGGCAAAGGTTTTTGAGTAGTTAATTCTAAGTTTACTATTAGTGTGGTGTGTTCTAGAATAACCCTTTAAATATGTATAACATCGATTATAAAATTGCATGTGACCTTTGTTTTATTTACTATATACGACATTGGCAATATAAATACTGTCAGTCAATAAGTATGATGGTTTACTTTTGCGTGAAATAGATCAGTGTTATTAGGAGTAAGATCATATCAGCTGGTTGGAACAGTTTGGATTGGAATTGTGGATCTTCCAACCTCAGTTGAGAGACTCGGAGAATGGGCTGAACCCCAAGAACCAGTCAAACCAGTTCGATTGTCCTCACCTTTTTTTAATATTTCTGAAGGCTTTCTTATTCTTTGATTTGTACTCTCCCGGGTAAGCTACATGTTTCATGGAATGAGAGATCGGTCCTTCTAACCCTACGGAGTCTGTTAGAAAGTGATAGGGAACCATTTTCTTTCCTTTTTTTTTTTGGGTTGGGGGTGGGCAGTTGGTTTGAGTGTCTAAAAGTAGTTTATGAATTAGGAGAATACTGATATCTAGAAGGACAAGTGAAAAATGGTGTTGAGTTGTTGGGTTGATGTATTGACCATACTTCTAAAACTTCAAAATATGACAATGTACTCTTCTAGGTTGACATGGTTTAACCAAGTAAAATAAGTTTATCAGGTTTTCTACGAAACTTGACTTTGTCATTGACTTGATCAAGTGAAGGACAAGCGACTTGATTTTTCTACAGAATTGCAAATCTAGAAGAAATGTTACAGAAGGGAAAAGTTTGTATGAGGTGTCAACCTTATTATGTAGAAATATGTCGTATCTCAAAAGTCCACCCTAAAAGGTTGTTTTGATATTGAAAAAAACCCTACAATTGATCATCTTGACTTTGAAATATATGGATGTGAAAAGAAAAGGATTTCAAGTCTTAAAAATAGTACATTTTGTAACACATTGTCCAGACCATCCATTTTCAAAACATTGAAGTGCTTACATATCTACTCAATCTACATTTTTCAAGCATTAAATTTTATTATTTGGTCTAGAAATGGATTTTCTGGCCATTGTTAGGGTTTCCAATAATCCATCACCAAAATTGCATCTTTTACCAAGATTTAGAGGTGCACCTTACTTTGATTGTTTAAGGTTGACATCTTATACAAAACTACACCCTTCATAGAAACCTATTTTGTGTTGCCTTTTAAGGCCACTTAAATTTTACAATCTCTGGAAAAGAAATTTACCACTTTTTAAATTGAAATTTAACAAGATTTTGCAAACAAAAATTGGACTGAACGTTAAGCATGGAGGGAAATTCTATTTTTCTTTATTTTCATTGATATATCACATGAGTGGCTATTTATGATTTTTTCTTTCAATAATATGTGATTGTCTAATTATCAAGACGAACGTAACACATGCACACACAGAAACAAATGCATATGTCATATCTTTTATTATGTGTAATTTTGTCTATTCAATTGCTTTTTGGAATTTGCCATATTTTTATTTTATGAACATTTGTGAATTCATACTCTACATATGTTGTTCATTCTCCATGTCTCCATGCTTGCATATCAAACTCTTAAAACTCTTTGTATGTTGGTCTTGAGTTTTCAATGGCATTTCTGGTTCTGTAAATTTGCATTTCAATTTTGCAATTTGCTGATGCTATAGAATTACATCATCGCATTATGTTTGATTTGTTTTGATAGATCTTGTTTTCGGGCAGGGTATGGAAAAATGCCTGGATATGAGCAGGTATTTACGGATTTCTTGTTGAGCCTGAGGCGTACAACCACCAAGGATCACACAAGAAGCAAACATAGTCGAGACAGTGGAATACAAGACAAAGCTTATCAGATCTCATCATAAATGAGTGAAGGGTCTATCTCTGCCCCGTCTCTCTAAGGCAGGCACAGCAGAATGCCAAGAAATGTTATATTGATTTTCTCCGACTAGCTGCTCACTCAAGCATGTCACAAGCAAAACACTCTTGTGGGGGGAGCTTAGTCTCTCTCTCTCTCTACAAGTGGATGCCACAGTCTCTCTGCAAATGGGTTTTTTCATATGCGGATACTCCCTGATCTTTTTGACTGTAAATAAGTTCATGTGCTTTCCTTGAAGCTTCAAATAAAGCTAGCCTACAATAACTTAGAGAATGAGCTCAAATCTGGAAAAAAATGGCTCTCCCACATTAATCCTATCTTAAAAATCTGTGTCCTTGGCTATGAAAAATTGTTGAATTTCTTCCTGCCTTTTCTTGATATAAAAAGTTTAAAATCCAAATGGAGTTCAGCTCTAATCAATTGCTAGCTTCTTACGTATAAAGTTCAGCTCTAATCAATTGACTAAAAGAAGTTGTCTAGATGTCCAAAAACCCTCAAATCAATCATCTCGACATATATAGGATATATGGGTATAAGAAAAAATAGAGTTTTTAAGTTTTGGAAATAGTGCATCTTGTAATGCATTTTTGGACCGTTGATTTTCAAGATTTATAAGTGTTCATAGATATGTTCGATCTATAATATTTTTGAAACTTCAAATTTTATAATTAGATATGAAAAAATTTTAAGCCATCACAAAGATTTTCGGTATTAAAACATCTTTCAACACTATTTAAAAGTGTGCCATATTTTGATCGTTTAGGGCTTCAGCTTTATACAAATTACATCCATTTATTTTTGGTGCAAGAGGTCATAATCACTTTTAGGCATTGGATGTAAAATGCTACAAATTAAAGTGTACCGTAATATTTGAAAATATTATTTTGGACATTGTGCATAGTTAATGACATATCTTTAACCATCTAATTTTACATCTAACGGTCAATAATAATTGTGACCTTGTACTAAAACAAAATGATCTCATTTTATACATTTTCATTAAAAAATTCAGAATCAAAATTCCCAATCATCGAAATAAGATAAATGATTGTAAAACAACAATTTTTGCAATCATCCAAACCTTTGAACGTTTTTAAAAGTTGCAAAAAGTTTTTTTTAGTTTCAAATGATTTACAATATATTTACTAGCTTTAAACATATTCAAATATCTATTTTTTAACTGAAAAAAAGGAAGTAAATTAGTGATTTAAAAACAAATTTCGGTTTCAATATTTTTTGCTTTTTTTTTTTATTATTATTTTTTTACTTTTTGTATTTTTTGTTTTTGTTTTTTCTGGGGGATTGCCCTGTATGATCTGGATAAAAATAGCCAATTTGATAGTCTAGTAAGCGTTCAATTTAGATCCCACTTCTGAGTTTTAAGACCATCATTTTCTCTTGGGAAATTCATAGAAAAATCTTGTTTTATTTTTAGAACGAAAAAATAGTCTTATATGTTTCATATTTTTACATTCAACTACTCAAGTAGAAGCATAAAATGTATCTGATTAGGAAAATTGTTTCATGCGATTGCGGACCGTATTTTTATATTTGTGGTCTCTGAGGTATAAAGCATTCATTTTAAAAATCGATGCAAATAGATGGTCCATCTAAAAACAATTGAAACTAACAACCCAAATGTTTTCTTAATAAAATTATTATTTTTAATTTTTAAAATTTATTTATTTATTCATATACGTGATCTCCACGTTAGAGATTACATGTCCTTAAAAATTAGGTAAAAAAGTCCATATAAAAATAGATTTTTAAAAGTGGTGACTCATTTTTATATGGGACTCATAGAAACCGTTTCCATCCAATTAAGCTCTAATTTGGTAGGTACATACTAATCACCATCACAAACTTATAAAAAATAATTTAAAATAAATGAAATCACCAAAAAACACCATGAGTATTGTAGGGATATTTTTGGTTATTTATTATTTTTAATTTTTTTTATAGGTTCTTGATAGTGAGAAGTATTGACATAGCAAATTTGAGCATAATCTGATATATAGAGAAAGATATAAAATTAGCATTTTTATGTTATCAAAAAATCCCTTGAGTAGAGAGAAAAATATAAGGCACAACCCGAAAATAAACCAGAGCTCTATTTAAAATTTCCTTTTATCTTAGTCTAAGATTAAACTTTTAAAACGAAAAGAAATTAACTCGAGAAGTGTCCCAAAATCATCATAATTCAAACACACGATAAACATTATAGTTTTGGTGGTCACACATATCTCCTAGCTAGGTGTAATAGCCGCATGACCAAATGCACATTCTGGTACCTGGGAACCACCTTGTAAGTCGCCTCATCTTTGAACTTTGAAGAGGTTGTTTAAAGCCGGGGAAAATCGCTCAAATTTAGCTGCCAAACGCATGTTTAAAGCCGGGGAAAATCGCTCAAATTTAGCTGCCAAACGCATAAAACAATGCCTATTTGGTGAGCCGTTACACAATTTAAAAACCTCTCTCTCTACACAATTCCAAATCTCTTCTCTCTCTATACACAATTCTAAAATATCTTCTCTCTCCTTAAAGGGAAAGCCCTTCATTTTTTATCAAGAGAGCCACTCATCGTGTGATCTTAGATCTGATATCTAAAAATATTTTATTTTTAATTTTTTTAATACAATTATTTTAAATATGAAATTTGGTACTGCCATCTTTTTATTGGGGTTGGGGTGCATCTATAAAAAATATTAATAATAATTTTTTGATAAAATATAATGATTAAAATATCCTTTGGAATTTTCACAATTATTTTGGTCATTTTATTTTATTAAAAATATTTTTTTTTTATATTTTTCGTTAGTGGAGTTTAATATAGGAATGGACGTTCAAAATTTGGTGTCAAAAGAGTTTATAGAAAGAAAATAAAAAATAAAACACTTAATATTGTGATTGGAGCAATCTTAACCCTCCAATAAAAAATAGATGGTTGGATAAGACTACCATAAAACTTGTATGTTGTATGTTGTAGGGGGCATAGAAAACTTTCCCTTCTCTAAACAATTCCAAATCTCTTCTCTCTCTCTATAAACAATTCCAAATTCTCTTCTCTCTCTCTAAACAATTCCAAATCTATTTTTTCTCTCTCCAGCGGCGATGTTATCCGATGGCCCAATCAGGCGGTTAAGCAACTGACGCCTCAACGGTCGATTTTTTTGAATACGTTCACAACGGTCACCACTCACCACTAAGCATTCCCATCTGTCGATCCAAAACCGCTCTCTCTCTCTCTCCTGTTGAGCTAAAAGAAAACTGCTCTCTCTCTCATTTACAGTGTTTTTTTTTTTTGACGTTTAGTGTTTCTCATTTTATCTGGCTATTCACAACTCATAAAGCCATTACAGAATCGTTGTGGACCCTTCCATGGAAAAGCCTTCAGCAAATGCTGCTTCCAATTCCCCTGACAGCTCTAAAAGCTTTGCTCCTCTTCACTCAGCTAATGCCCCTGCAGGTCTCTCTTTCTCCAGTGTATATAATTTCATGTTCATTTTTATGTAATTGATTTTCTGATTGTACTCTCTCTCTCTCTCTCTCTCTCTCTCTCTCTCTCTCTCTCTCTCCATTTTTGACTATTGTGGTTTCTTCTCTATTCTTGCCTTCAATGTGTTCTCTTTCCAAGTTCTTGCACTGGATTTCAACCATCACCTCATTTCTTGGACCACAGATTTTTCGCAAAGGTCTTCGACCTCTAAAGAAGCAACTCCAGATGAGATCGATGAAAATAATCTCCATATACCCATCCCTAATGTGAATGCAGTGAAGGGAAAACACCTCCCTGCTAAAAAAGGAGAAAAGAATTTCATGGCACCCACCTTTTCTGCAACATCCAAGGCCAACGTTTCAAGAAAGAAGATTTTAGGAGAAAGAAACACCTCCACCACCATTAATGGGAAACCAGGTACCAATTTCACCGAATCTGCAAAACCCACTGAAATTTTGGGCTCAAAGACTCATCGAAAAGTATTGGAAGAAGAGGCGGCTGGTTCAAATGGAGCGAGCCCAAAGAGTTTTGACTCTGAAGGGGCAGTTTCAGAAACAGGTGGGAACTTCAGAGTCAGACCTTGCACAAATGCTTCTCTCTCTTCGCCTACTTTTCGTTCTTCTACCCCGAAGATGAATTCTGATAAGAATGTCGGCAACACCCCTGATTCTTCTTCTCTCCCTTATGATCCTCTCACGAATTATTTGTCTCCGAGGCCTCAGTTTCTTCGTTACAAGCCTAACAGGAGGCTTGAGGTTTTCTTGCGCCGGGAAAAAGCTCAAAGAAAAAGTCAAGAATTTGACCCATGTTTTTCTTCTGGTTCAGAGACTGAAGAGAGAGGAGAAAGAGAGACAAAATCTTTTGAGGAAGAGAATTTTGATGGGGTTTCGGGAGAAGAGTTAACCCAAGAAGAGGAAAAGAGAGATGAAGAAGCAGAGCTAGAAGAAGAAGAAGAAGAAGAAAAAGAAGAAGAAAAGGAGGAAGAAAAAAAAGAAGAAATGGATGAAGAAGAAGAGGGCTTTCGGAATTCTTGTTGCGGTCATCGTTATTTGCCGATATTTGTTGCTTTAATCATAGTTTCTTTCTCTCTATACTGTCCTTCTCTGTTTCCATCACTCAACAAGCATGGATCTCCAGTGATGAATGCTTTCCAAAGCATGGGAATTCAGTCCTTGAACTCTGATGTGAATGATTTTACAGTAAGTGGTCAGTATAATCTAAAACTCAGAGAATCTCTCTCTAGAATTGATCGTATTACCCCTGAATGGTTTAGTGAGAAGTTTCTTTCTAATTCTGAAAAGAAAGATTCTCTCATTGAGGAAACAGGGTCCCCTGTTCCAAATTTCCAGCACCAAATTGAGAATACGAACGGTGATATGATTTTTTCAAACCTTACGAAGGGGTCTGAGACTACAGAAACGAAAAATGAAGAGAGAGAAACGCATGAGGATGTTGAACGAATAATGGAAGATGGAGAAGGAGCTGCTATGTCAAATGATAACCATGGAACTCTAGAATTTGAGGCAGAAGAAGAAACCAATGGAGCCAGTGCTTTCCATGCAAGTTCTGAGGATGGAAATTTTGTGGTGAGTGAAATGCGAAATTCTCTCGAAGAATCGGTGGAAGAAGAAAGGGCTGAACATGAAATTTGGGATAATGAATCAGAAGAAACTTATGAAATGGATAATTCTAGCTTAGAGGATTCTCATTCAGAGATACCAAATTCTCCAAAAACTGAAGAAAATTTAGCTTTAGAAAACGAATCAGAATCTCTTGTCACTGAAAATTCACTGGTTTCTGAAACCAAATTTGAATCAAATGAAATAAGCTCAAATTTGGAAAGAGAAGAAATTCTTTTGGAGAATGCCACGGGGATACGAAGATGGGTGAGAGAGAAAATGTCTCAGGTGAAAATAAGAGCTGGATTATTCGTTATATCAATTCTTTTAGCTTCCATTTTGGCTCCTCTTTGCTTCTTTAAGCAAGCAAAGCAACCTACAAAGGAGCTTCCACTGAAACTTTCTATGGAAGATGCGGAAAACCGAAACGAGGAGATTAGGAAGTCGAATTCTTTGGTGGCTAATGGAGTCAGGATTTCTGAGAAGAACTCTTCTCTTTCTCAATTCCATGAGAGCTCACATTATCAGGCTCAAGAGACAGAGGTAGGGTTCCTTGGAGAACATGTATCAAGAGAAATGAGTGAATCAGGAAAGAGTTTGAGCCTTCTTTCGAAAACAAAGGGAGCAGAGAGGGAGAGTGAGGAGAAAATTTCAGGAAGAGGTTTGAGAAGAAAGAGTGTTTCCTCTGCAATGACGAAAATTGAATACTCGGAGCATTCGTCAGCTGGTTCTTCGTCTTATGGGAGCTTTACCACTCAAGAGAAGATTTTGAGGCGAAAGGTAAGGTTGAATTCCTCCATGATTTTCAGTGAATTTTGCTTTTTCGTTGTGAGTTTTAGAATTCAAGGGCAATTGAGCTCTCTCGCTCTGTCTCTCCCACTCTCTCATATTTTCTCAATTCTATGGAAATAGAAAAGCAACATGTTATTCATTTTAGGAATGAAGTCCAAAACGGTTTTCGGTTTTCATTTTTAAACCCAATTTACAGAAACTCACATCAACCAGGGACTTTTGCCACTCTGGCCAAGGTGAGTTACTTGGCTCAGGACTTGGAATACAAAAATTAAAAAAAGTTGAAAAAAAAGTATTAAAGGTAAATTCAAACCTAAAATCGAGTCCCAATACACTGTTTAAGGGCTTGGTAATGTGTGACAACTCAGGGTATTAAAAATAAAAAAATGAAAAAAAATGTAAAAATAAAAATAAAAAGCTGTCCCACTCATGGGCTTTCCACGGTTTAATGCTTGAAATGGAGGAGGAAATTGGCTTTTCACTGAGTTTTCTGCCCCACTCATTGAAGAGGGGGGGAGGTCTAAATGTTTACATCCACTGCCTTTTTCTGTTTCTTTTTTCTTTCAAAACATTAAAATGTGGAACTTTGGATCCCTTCACAAAGCTATGCAGCCTCTACTATTTCCTTTTTTAGCTTGTTCAATATGAGAAACCAAAAAATGAAAAGAGAATTTGGAGTTTTCTGCTTCTTTTACCTTCAAATAGGGAATCTGAGTTTCAAAGAGAAATTGGGTTTTCTTCATGAATGCTCTCTCTCTCTCTCAAGTTTTCAAAGGAAATAAAATTTGTTTTGTTCTCTTGCTTGGCTTTTGCAGCAGAAGAATGGAGATGAAGAGAAGGTGAATGAGGTTGTGACTACACCTGTGAGACGGTCTAACAGATTACACAAGAAGTTCACATCTCCATGAAAACCAGTCCTCTATTGCAGTTGCAAGCTATCGTTGCCATGATCCTCACTGACCTTTGTTTTCATTTATTCTTTACTCTTTCAAATTTTTTTATTGCCTGCTACAAGGAACCACTTCTGTTTCCTGGCTGAATGTTTTGATTCAGGATCATCATATGCTATGCTGTGATGTTTATTTTGGATAGATGAGAAGCTTCATCAATCTGAATTCGCCTTTTCTTGTCAATGAAGGTCCATGGCAGCATGCAAAATCAGAATTAAACCAAAGTATTGTTGGAAATGGTGAGTGGGTGGGTGAAATGGGAAACTAGAAAATAATTCCATAACATACTTTGTAACTAGTTGGGAGGACAAAAGATCTTTTTTCTTTGAGGAGGAAGTTGTTGCTTTCTCAAGAACACCCCCATATAACAAATAGTGTGCATTTAAATGTTCTCCAAGAAAATTTGTCCCCGGGGATAAAGACTAGTGTGAATCTAAGTTCTCTAAGAAATTTGTCCTTGATAAGATCAAACAGTTATTTGCCATTACAAATGCACAAGTATTAGGAGTCCAAGATGAGATGGACAAAAGATGTTTTGCATGACAACAGTACAGCCAAGATCCATTCTCATTGGCACCCGACATCTGAATGAATTTGGATAGCTTGGATCATGTAATAAACTTGAATTTTAATTTTTGGAAAAATATGGGAAATTACTCAAAATGTACCTAACTTATCAATTTGTTCAATATTGCTCAAATTTTTTCCCTTTTCTACTATTATTCCAACACTTGATAATGTGTATTTTGATGAATCCTTTTAAATTAAATAAAAAATTAATAATATATTAAATAGTTCAGCTCTTAATAAATTAGAAACGGTTAGCATGCGGCCAAGCCCTCACATGTAGAAATGCATGCTTGAAAATAACTATAGAGAAAATATCTCTTTATCCTTTATTTTTAGGTTTCATTTTTCAATAGACTTAAGATTTAAAGGGACATAAAAATATGGGAAAATATCTACATATCCTCCATTTTTAAGTTTTATATCTCTATAGAACTAATGTTTCAAAATATATCTTGGGTCATAAAAATTCTAAGTTATATATCTTTTAACCACCAAACTAACTTTATCCCCTTTAAACCTATTTTCTGCCTCCAAACAAATATAAGAAAGACATATATCCTTTCTAAACACCATCATTTCTCTTTCTTCACGTGATATTCCCCTAAATCTCTCTCTCTACCTATTTTTCCACTCTCTCGCCCCCCGTGTTTCTCACTCACTCTCTCCCCCATTAGAGAGACAAATAGGGTGAATGTTAGAAAAAGAGAGAAATTTGAGGGGAATATATCACGTAAAGAAATGAAGGGTTTAGATTGAATATGTATTTTTTATATTTATTAGGGCTAAAAAAATAGTTAAAAGTGAGTAAAGTTAATCAAGGGGTTAGGACATATTTTTTGAATATTTGGGTCTATTGAGATATAAAAACCAAAAATAAAGGTACGAGGATATATCCCCTAAAAATATTAAGTTTTATATCTTCTAATCCCATAGAATAATTTTTGTCCATTTTAAACCTATTTTTTTGGCCTAAACAAATTTAAAAAAGACATGTCCTTTCTAAATCCCAACCTTTCTCACTCTTCCTCAAACTTCTCTCTCTTTTCCGAACTTTTCTCTCTTCATCTTTTTCCTGTGAGTCTCCCTACATATATCATTCTTTCTCTCTCTTCCCCAAACTTCTCTCTTTTTCTCTCTCTTGTGATTGCCTCCGCCGAGCACTGGCCATGGCCGGTTCCGATGGTGTGCAACACTCATTTCCCCCAAGGAGGGCAAGACTCTAGCACAGAGTTTGAGGAATTGAAAATGTTTATAGATATGTCTCTCTCTTCCCCAAACTTCTCTCTTTTTCTCTCTCTTGTGATTGCCTCCGCCGAGCACTGGCCATGGCCGGTTCCGGTGGTGTGCAACACTCATTTCCCCCAAGGAGGGCAAGACTCTAGCACAAAGTTTGAGGAATTGAAAATGTTTATAGATTTGGGTTTCATATTTGTGGAGAGTGAATTGAGTCCTAGATTGAAATCCATCATCCCCGGCCTCCAAAGGACGGTAAAGACGAAGGAGAAAGAGAATGAGAAACAAGAAGAAGAGAATAAAAATATTTCCCGACCATACTTATTAGAGGCATGGTCAATGAGAAAACCAGATAGCAAGGTGATTCAATGAAAAATGACTGAATTGAGTCAAGGCATGGATATGAAGGAGCATCTCAAATTTTGGGCCCATAATGTTGCCGCTACAGTGAGATAATGAGAGAGAAAGCAAGATTTATAACCATTTTTCTGCCCAAAAGAAGTTGAACTTATGCAAATTACAAGAGCATGTAATGGCTTGCTTTTTGAGCTTCCTCAAGAGAAGAAGAGAAGATTTTATTGTTGCTATTTTTTGGGGATTAAATGTACGGTGTCCCCTTGATCAGCAGAGTGGGCCAGCTTCATCCCTTGTTTTTGTGTTAATGGGAAACATAGGGGGAGGGGAGAGAGGTTAGGGAAATAATGGGAGAAAAAGATGGGTTTGGCGAAACACGGAGGGAGAGAGAGTGTGGGAGACAGGGGAAGAGAGACAATTGGAGAAAATAGAGAGAGCAAACGGGTTTGAGGAATATACATAAAGAGAGAAAGGATGGGATTCCGAAAGTGTCTTTCCAATATTTGTTTGGATTAAAAGATAGGTTTAAAGTGAGTAAAGTTAGTATGGGTCAAAAGATGTATTTTAAAATCTCAGATGTATAGAGTATCGATCAAGTCAGAGAATTAGAAATTTCAATAATTTTGAAAGCTCTCCTCTTCATCTCTTATTTGTGAAGTTTGATCAACCAACAATAGATCTCTGCAACTTTAGAAGCTTCATCTTTGATGCATTCTTTCTAAAATTTTCACTATTAGAGAATCAAAGACCTAGCAAATGCATATGTACTCTTTCTTCTTCACTTTTCATTGCCAGAGAACTAGAGATTTCTATCACCAAAAACAGAAAAGGGTTCACCATTTCTAATGCATTTTTTTGCAATTTCCATAACCCACAAGTACTAGAGAATGGGTGGGGCTAGCAGAGGCAGAGAAGAAGAAGGGGTGGCGTCGCAGAGAGAAAGAGAGAGGGGTTGAGCGACAGGTGATAAACCTTGTTCTTTTTGGGAAGAGGAGGATGTCAAAATTTTAGATCAGTAAAGAATCGAAAAACATATAAATTCGGGTTTTTAATATTCGACTTTTTTTTTTTCAAAAACTGAAAATTTTAAATATTTCTGTTTTTTAAAAACAGAAAATGGGCAGTTTAATTTTTTTTTAAAAAAAATGTTATGAAGTTCAAAAAACGAATATAGTTGTAATATCGGAAACTAAAAGGTAATTTTGTAATAACGAGAAATATAAAGGACATATATGTATTTTTCCAATATATTTAGTAAATATAGTTTGACCTAATGTTTAGAGAATTTATAATCGGAGATCATGAATATAAAAAATAAAAAATTTTAAAAACTAGAAATAATAATTATATTAAAAAATCATTTGGTACAATTGTTTTTAGATGGATTACCTATTTGCGTCCATCTTAAAAATGGATGCGTATATTGTAGAAATACGGTCTAGCCAGGATGAAAAAAATGATAGAAACGTAACTTTGAATTTGTTCACGGGTTCAAAAATTCATTTTCCCAAAGGGAAAATCTACATGGATGGGAATTCTCACCAGCTCAGAGGAAGAGACTATTGGCTCTCCACATGCACGTCCCTCAAAGGAGAAAAGTGATACTTAGGCTTGGGAATGGGTCGGGTTTAGGTATGGGTCTGGCCGGACCTGGACCCAGGCCGGGACCCGAAAAACATTATGGGATCCTGACCTGATCGGGTCCGGGTCCATTGCCACCCTTGATGTCAAAGGTCTCTATTAGTTGATGAGAAAGAGTTTTTAGACCCATATCCGGAACCAGGTCGGGTCCAAATCCATTGCCACCCCTGGTACTCGCACCAATATTCAATAAAAAGAAAAAAGGAAAAAAAAAAGAAAAAAGAAAACATAAAGAGATGATACTCTCTCAGGATGGATATTTTTGCTCTTGTTGATATTGGTTCCTCACTATGCTCGAATTGAGTGCCTTTCGAAAAAGGTGAGAAAAAGAGAACTATGAAGAATCAAGAATGCATGAATCTTAACAAAAGCAAGAGACAAAAACCCTCCTTCAGTCCTTGGAATCAGCATGGAAGACCCGCTACAAAACCAACGCCTGTGTATTAGAAAAATATTTCAATAGAGTTACTTAAAGACAAAATCACCTACAATAATAATGATGAATAACAATAATAGAATAAAACAGTAGGATTAGTATGGGAAATTTGAATCATGACAAACCCCAAGCATGTGATTTTGTAATTTATGTGCCAGAAACATAGTCAGGTCGTAGAATTGCGTGAGCACAGGAAGCAAAGAACTAAACAAACAAAGGACAAATTATAGGAGAGAGAAAGCGGTGGGGGAGAGAGAGTGTGTGTGGATGGAGTAGTATAATACCAACTCCTTGAAGATAGTGCAATATCAAAACTTATGCAATATGTGGTGGATTTATGGAGGATGGTAACGGTTGAAGTTGCAATAAAAGAAATAGAGAAATTTGTTAAAAACAAAGAAAAAAAAGAAATAGAAAAGAGAAGAGAAATAGATCAGCACGGCATATACGTAGTTCGGTAGTGGTAATTACGTTCATGGATGGTAAATCAGTATTTCATTCATAGGAATTACTTTGATTTACCATATATTTATAGAGCGACAATTTTTGTCTTTTAAGAGAAAATTCTCGTTATAAATGCAATCCTACAAAATAGAAAACTCACTATCGTATAACCCACGAGATAGAAAATTTAATATATGATCACAATAGCCATCAACACTCCCCCTCAAATTGGTGTGTTGACATCTGCGGAGCCCAACTTGGACAATATCTAATGAAACTTTGTCTTTGCAATAGCTTTGGTAAATATGTCTGGAAGTTGATCTTCACTTCGAATATAAGGAGTACTAATAATTTTTTACTGAACATTTTCTTTTACAAAGTGACAATCAATTTCTATATGTTTGGTTCTTTCATGTTTTACTGAACATTTTCTTTTACAAAGTGACGATCAATTTCTATATGTTTGGTTCTTTCATGAAAGACTGGATTGGAGGCTATATGCGCCAACTGCTTGATTATCACAGAACATCTCAAATGGATAGGCCGTTTGAAACCCTATATCTTGAAGTAGTGATTTCAACCATATCAACTCACTTGTAGTTGCACCCATAGCTTTATATTTAGCCTCTGCGCTGGATCGAGCAACTACATTTTGTTTTTTACTTTTTTAAATAACCAAGTTTCCTTCGACTAATGTACAAATAGCCAGTAGTGCGTTTCCTAACAACTGGACTACTTGCCTAATCAGCATCAAAAAAACAAAATAATATTAGTGTGACCATTCTGTTTTATCCAAATACCTCTGTTGGGTGAGGACTTAAGATATTTGAGAATCCGATTGACATTCTCGATATGGTATGATCTAGGAGCATGCATAAATTGGCTCACAAGGCTAACCGCTTATATTATGTATGGTCGTGTCACAGTCAAATAAATCAATCTATTCACGAGCCTCTGAAAACGAGTCACATCTTCAAAAGGTTTACCATTTGTTGAATTAAGCTTACAAATTAAGATCAACATATGTGGCAACATGTTTGACTCCCATTTCCTGGTTTCATTCAACAAATTCAAGGCATATTTCTTTTGAGAAATAAAAAGTCTTTTTATGGAATGTGCTACTTCAATACCAAAAAAATACTTTTGTTGACCAAGATCCTCGATGTCTAATTTTTTATGAAGATAGTTTTTAAGCTTCAAAATTCTTTTTTATCATCACCTGTAACGATGATATTATCAACAAACATGAGTACAATTGTTGCACCTGAAGTTCCCATTTTTCTGAACATCGATGAATCAACTGAACTTTTAATAAACCTGGCACTCATTAAAGCTGAGCTAAGTTTGACATACCATGCGCAGTTCAAAATTCTATTTCCTATGAAATTGAATACCTAAAAAAGGCGATAGATTGAGGAAATCTATATATATTTGAAAAGTTTGAAATTGGACAGACTACATACTGTGTTAAAAAAATGCATTATAAAAATGCCTTAAAAATCTTTTTTTCTCCACGTTCATATATTTTCAGGTCAAGGTCCATTTGATGGTTTTCGTTAGAACAACATTTTCCAATAGGATTTTCTCGAGGGCTTTCATTAAAACAACATTTTCCAATAGGGTTTTGAGTTACATCTTACTTTTAAACTTTTTCCTTTAAAAGACTAGGAATATATTACTTGAATAAGATCATTAAGTATAAGGTTGTGACTTAAATCTTGTTTCCACTTGACCCCCTTGTGCAGGTTTTCTTGTTCTCTCAACCTTTTTTTAGGCTTCAAGATTTTTATACTTGTCATGCAATCTATCGCCTTTTTTAGGTATTCAATTTCATAATTAGAAGTGAATATAGAAGTTTAAGCCTTTTTGGTATTGGAATTGAATGTTGCAGAAAAATCGAAGGTACCAGAATTATATTTAAAGATTTTTGGTATATCCCAAAAAACCAAACAAAACTGACCTGAGCTTTTTCCTTTACCCCAGGAAAAAAAAACAAAAAAACAAAAAAAATAACTCCCTTCAATATTAACATTGACCACCTTTGATTATTTTAGGTCCTAGATATTGTCCAAGGAAAAGAGTGGTCCTCCATTTCTTATAATTCTCATTTGCCCACTAGCAACATAGCAATTGTTATCGCTTGTGCTCTTAAACAAATGAATACAAAGAAGATATGTTAATAAGAGAAAAAGGGATTGTGCTCCAATGAGAGTGAGTGTTGAAGTTGAGATGAGAGTGAGTGTCGAAGTTGACAAGAGAGAAGGTAATTGTTTCAAGGAAAAAGTTTACACAAGTGCAAGGCTCTAAACAATCAAATTGAGACGCACATAAAATTTTTTACTAGAAGAGGTTTTGATGCTGAAATATCCTCAAATTAATCATCTCGACCTCAATATGTATGGAGATGAGAAAAAAAAATGAATTTCAAGTTTTGAAAATACTTCATCTTGTAATGTATTTTTAGACTGTCAATTTTTAAAATTTTCATAGATGCTCTCGATCTATACTATTTTTGAATCTTTAAATTTTATAATTACATATGAAAATATATTTTAAGGCTATGCCAAATAATTCCAGTATTGAAACCACATTTGTCGATACTATTTGAAAGTGCTCTTTACTTTAATTATTTAGAGCCTCGGCCTTATACTTGTTTTGAAGTTGATGGGAGAAGTTATTATCAATGCTATTAGGATTTGATAGGGTCGGTGAGAGATCTGTTTATATTAAATCAGTCTGGCGATTTGTCGAATTGATTTGATTAGAATTTTAAAATAGTAGCAGACAACTCATCTAACCTATTTTTGACTAATTTTTTTATTGAATATAATTTTTATTTTGGGTCAGACTGATTAAGATACTGGTTGTCAAGTTCGACTGATCGGACCACCGATCTGGTCCATGATAACGATGGTTATTATTATTGTACAGGCATATATGTTCGTTTATGCCTTCATAGCTATCAAAACAAGAGTTACTATAAATAAAAAATAAAAAAATACCAAAAAAAAAAAAGCCATTGAGGAAGAAGCCAAACTTATGGTAGGCAGTCAAATCATCCTTAAACAAAAGAGGAAAAAGTAAAAAAAAAACAAAAGCAAAAAAGAAAGAGTAGAAAAAAGCACACAAGACAAAGGGAACCGGCGGGTAGAGGTCCATTTAGGACTTCATTTGTGTAAAAGGGGAATATTAGGTAGAATGGATGATCAAGATGTTTTTCATTAGCACATGTATGCAATCCCAGTCATTCATTTGGCTTGGATTTTAAATTTAAAGGAGAAAATGACCCTCACAAAAGCTGGTGCACAAGTAAAGTATATCACACGAAAATGAAATTTTTGGCGTAATGTGAACAAGATACTTGCCTAAGTATTAACTCTTTTGTTAATGATACGATAATAATGGACCAAAGAGTATACGACCCTCCTGCAGGAGCATACTATACATCTACTCCCCAAATTGGAAGACCAATTTAGATATATTTTTCAATCCAGAATTCCGATTCGCATGCAACGAAGCCTGCACATGTAAACTTTTTCCATAGAATAATTATAAAGATAAGAAGAGAAATTAATGTGGATAATAAATATACGAAATAGTATAATATAAAGGAAAAAGTACTTATGAAGATAGGAAAGAGAGAATCTTGGCTATAAAAGATCTTTGCTATTTCATGAGTTGTTTATTACGAATTCATAATGTAACTAAAAATATCACACCTTCTTAATTTGGAGATAGACGAATAGAAAATAGGTAGAGCTTGGACTTAGTGAAATAATGGATGCCAAAAGATTTCATGCTCCTTTGGGAGTATATTGGCCATTTGCTCCCTCAGGTAAAACCCATTCTAGAAGTAATTTTAGGATCCTAAATTTTGGGGACGTGACAATTTCAATCCATAGATTAATCTCAACAAACAAGAAAAAAAAAATCCAAACTACACTCTTTATGTATTTGAAAAAATAATATATCCATAATAACATAGATCCTCCAATGTTTTGAGGGTGAGATCGAAGTATTAGAAAACTTAAAATTCATTTTTTTTTCTAGAAAGAATCATCTAATGATTCTTAGGTGATTCTCAAAATTATAAATTGAAAAATCGTCCCAAATAGGTCTTCTGACTAAAAGAATAGGTATACAATATATGCTCTCACAGGAGCACAATAAAAGTACTCACCTATATACATTGGGGTTGCCGAGAGGGGAAAGGTTTCTATACTTCTCCTATAGCATAGAATATCTATGCTTCCCCCACCATCCAGCCGTCCAATTTTGATCAAGAGAGTCACTCACCATTTGATCTTAGATCCGACGTCTCAAAATATTTTATTTTTTAATTTTTTTTATACAAATATATGAATATGAAATTTAGTACGTGCCATCTTCTCATTGGGGCGCACCTATAAAAATATTAAAAGTAAATTTTTGATAAAATATAATGACCAAAATACCTCTCGAAATTTTCAAGGGGTATTTTGGTCATTTTATTTTATTGAAAATATTTTTTTTAATATTTTTCACTAGTGCGAGTTTAATAGAGGATTGGACATCTAGAATTTGATATCAAAATAGTTTATAAAAAAATAATTTAAAATAAAATAGTGTAGAGATGTGACATTGTGATTGGGGCAATCTTAGCCCTCCATTCAGAATGGACGGTTAGATAAGTGGAAGTATATAAGTTTTATGCTGCATGGGAAGCATAGAAAAACTTGCCCTGCAGAGCGACGTAAAGAGACGAAGACAAAAAGAGGAAGAACATAAAATAATAATAATAATAATAAAAACAAACAATATTAGGGTTTCAATGACCTTTAGATCGGTTTGGGGTTGTATCCTTGGATCCGATGGGCACTACCCCTAAAGCTTGGGACACTTATAGTCTTTGGTTGGCATCCTCATATCAAAAGACAAGCCAATTTTGAAAAAAATAAAAAAAAATGGAGGTTGACCGACCTTCATTATAATTTCTATCTACAATCGAATTCAGTATTTTAGGTAAATTTTTGGAGACTCAAATAGATTAGCAAATTATAAAAGGTGATGAGCATTTGAAGGAACAGAGTGGCTCCACACTATACTATAAATGCCCACTAAAGCGCAGTTGCATGAGTTCCCAACAAGCATCACCTCCCTTCCTCCCCCTCTCTAATTGCATGAGTTCCTAACAAGCATCATCTCTCCTTCTCTCTCTCTCTATATATATATATACATATAGTTTCAGAGGCGTCTCTAAAAATGCACCTAGCACCATGCCTCACAAGTGTGCTTCTCATCCTAGCCTCCCTCCTCTATACCACCACCTATTTCCGGCTTCTCACTCCATTTTCCAACGACAATCCCTACCACTTCCTCTTCCTCTCCTCCGGCGACAACGCCACCGCTGCCCGACACCTCCTCTCTCTCACCTCCCGCCCCCACACTGCCGGCACCCCCGCCAACTACATCACCGCCCTCTATGTCCTCAACACTTTCTCTCTCCTAAACTTCCAAGCACATGTAACCTCTTACAAGGTTTCTCTCACTTATCCGATATTCCGATCGGTCGATGCCAAATTTCCGGCCACAAACACGACGTCGAGACTCAGCCTCAAACAGGAACCCTGTAAGGGAGACCCTTACTCTGAGACCCTTGAGGCCTTGCCAACCTTCCATGCCTATGCCAAAACAGGCCAAGCCATAGGAGAGGCCATCTATGTTAACTATGGTAGAGAGAGAGACTTTGCACTTTTGAAGGGCATGGGCATTAGTGTTGAAGGCAAGGTTGTCTTAGCAAGATATGGAGAAATATTCAGAGGGGACATAGTGAACAATGCCATGGAAGAAGGGGCAATTGGTGCTGTGATCTACACTGACCCTAAGGACTATGGAGGGAACCATGGATCTCACCCTGAGGCTCGGTGGATGCCACCGAGTGGCGTGCAAGTGGGCTCAGTGCGTAGAGGTATAGGGGACCCCTCGACGCCAGGGTGGGCTAGCATAGAGGGTTGTGAGAGGTTAGAGAGAGAAAGAATGGAGAAGGGGCTGCCATCGATTCCCTCTCTCCCTATATCGGCCAAGGATGCAAAGGTGATTGTGGCCGGGCTCGAGGGTCCACTGGTTGATGAGGACTGGCAAGGTGCGCTCGATGTCGGTGCCTATAGGGTCGGGCCGGGTCCGGTCACCCTCAACCTCACTTATATTGTAAGTAGTTTCTTTTGTGCATGTGGATGCCTCTCTCTCTCTCTCTCTCTCTCTCTCTCTACACACAACATATGTGTAGTGTAGTAGGTTGGTCGGGTCGGTACGTACGTACCGTACCTAACCTACTACGTACGTACGTAAGTACGTTCGTTCGTGTTGGTTGGGT